AAAATCTTAAAAAAAAAAAAAAGATAAATTCCAATGAGCACCCGAAATGGGAAACTTGGAGAAAGACAAGTGGATTCCAAATAGTTAAAAGGCGAGAATTTAAAAGGTATGTAAATTCGCAGTCAAGAGTGTAAAACCTAAGATGTGAGAAAGTACCAGATAAACTATTATTAACAGAGAACAGTATATCATCCTGATAAAAATAAACATATTAAGTATCTTTAAAAGACTATCTTTAATCATTTGTTCAATCACACACTTTACAATGAGAACTGGACTTCTCCTTTGCAAGAAGCAACAGTCATGAACGGCATTTTGAAAATTCCCTTTAGTCCCAGATTACATTTCAAAACATTATTCAGAAGCCTGATACATATAATTAGCACATGTCCTCATGTGGCCATTTACCCATTGCTGAGCTCCCATTCTGCTGCTGGAGCTTGTTGGCTGGTGGGTTGGCCGCTGAGACTGAGGAAGGAACTATCTGCTGCTGCCCATGTCCTGAGGAAGGAACTATCTGCTGCTGCCCATGTCCTGAGGATCAAAACAAAGACAATTTTAGTGCAAATAATGCAGGTTAAAAGATTTAAACTTAGGTAGAAGAAATACTCTGAGAAAGTGTAAATGTTTTATTTTGTCAAAGGCTCTCATGGGTCAGAATTCATGCTGGGGTATTCAACTGCATGCAGTCAATCAGCTAGGGGTTCACTTCTGTTTTCATTATATAAAAGGTTGGCTCCATTTACCTTTCACCTGCTTATAATTGATAGCCTTCAGTTTTAATGAGGTTCTCCCCTAAAGCCTTGCGCATTTCTCCTGCATGAACCTGAAGTAAAGTCACTGGGCTGAATCTGTGACATTACCACTATTTCCATAGCAACAAATCGATGTCATCAACAGAACCGTGTTCACGGCAGGATCTCTCAGAAGAAAAAGCTGGGTGGTAAGAAAAACCTAAAAGCAGTTCAATTGTCTCTGAAGTGCTCCTGCTTCAAAGGAAAAGGAGACATTCAGAAAGGATTCTACCCTTTCCCTCCCAAACAAAGCAACCTTATTTCTCAACTGACAGTTGGTGGGAAATAAGAGTTGAAAGAGCCTTAGGTACCGTGAAGTGCTAGCGCACTGTCACAGCGGGGAGGGACGGGATGGAGTTCAGAAGCAGGTGGCAAGGAAACAGGAAGATTAAAAGGAAGGAGGGGAAAGGAACAGGTCTCTCAAGCAGAAAATAAGTGCCATACCACGAGACTATTTATTTGCCCCTCACCCTTTCTACAAATGTTTATGAGTTGAAGAACATTAAAGTTGCAAAATACACCTAATTAAAAAAAACAATAGGTTTATGGCATTTGATTTTGCCTTTGTGAGGGGCACTAAACCTAATCTAGGCTGCTCACCAAGAGTGCCTGTAGCACACAAGTACAGCTCAAAAAGATTTCCTAGAAAGTCCTACAAACAAAAATGGTGAGCCCTGCTGAAAAGGCTCCCTGCCTGCCACCTTGTCTCTGCCTTCTCCATCACTAGGCTTATTCCTGATGGGTTTCCCAAGGCCCTCACTCAAATGGGCCTGTTACACACTGCCTTCATTTCCTTCTGCCAATATTTCTCTTAATACAACAAAATGAGAATTAACTGTGCTATTAGAGTAAAATAAATTTAGCATAAAATTAAAAAGGTTAAAACAGAATTGCTTATTCTTTAGTTCTTCCTATGGGGAGAAAAATTAAGACCCTAATTTTATTATCTTTAATCCCCAATTTCACACATCCCACCTCCCACCTCCCTTCTGGTCACCATTAGTTTGTTCTCTAGAGTTAAGGGTCTGTTTCTTGGCTTCTCTCTTTTTCCTTTGTTCATTTGTTTTCTTTCTTAAATTTCACATATGAATGAAATCATATGGTATTTGTCTTTCTCTAACTTATTTCACTTAGCACAATACTCTCTAGTTCCATCCGTGTTGTTGCAAATGGCAAGATTTCAATCTCTTTTTACGGCTGAATAATACTACATTGTATATGTGTAACATATCTTCTTTATGCATTTATCAATCAATGGACACTTGGACTGCTTCCATAATTTGGCTATTGTAAATAATGCTGCAATAAACATGGGTTGCATGTATTCTTTTGAATTCAAGTTTTTGTATTTTTGGGGTAAATACCCAGTAATGCTATTACTGGATCCTAAGGTTGTTCTATTTTTAACTTTTTGAGGAAACTCCATACTGTTTTCCACGGTGGCTGCACCAGTTTGCATTCCCACCAACAGGGCAACCTCACCAACACTTGTTGTTTCTTGTGTTGTTCGTTTTAGCCATTCTGACGGGTGTGAGGTGTGAGGTGGTATCTCACTGTAGTTGAGTTGCATTTCCCTGACGATGAGCGATGTTGAGCATCTTTCATTGTGTCTGTTGGCCATTTGTATATCTTTGAAGAAATGTCTGTTCATATCTGCTGCCCATTTTTTAACTGGGTTATTTGTTTTTGGGGTATTGAATTGTATTAGTTCTTTATATATTTTGGATGCTAAGCCTTTATCAGACATGTCATTTGTAAATATCTTCTCCCATTCTGTAGGTTGCCTTTTAGTTTTGTTGACTGTTTCCTCTGCTGTGCATAAGCTTTTTATTTTGATGTAGTCCCAATAGTTTATTTTTGCTTTTATTTCCCTTGCCTCAGGAAACATATCTAGAAAGATGCTGCTACGGCCAATGTCAAAGAAATTACTACCTATGCTCTCTTCTAGGATTTTTATGGTTTCAGCTCTTACATTTAAGTCTTTAATCAAATTTTTTTTTTTAAAGATTTTATTTATTTATTTGAGAGAGAGAATGAGAGACAGAGCACGAGAGGGAAGAGGGCAGAGGGCGAAGCAGACCCCCTGCAGAGCAGGGAGCCCGATGCGGGACTCGATCCCGGGACTCCAGGATCATGACCTGAGCCGAAGGCAGTCGCCTAACCAACTGAGCCACCCAGGCGCCCGGTCTTTAATCAATTTTGAGTTTATTTTTGTGTATGGTGTTAAGAAAGTGGTCCAGTTTCATTCTTTTGCACGGAGCTGTCCAGTTTCCCCCACACCATTTGTTGAAGAGACGGTCTTTTTCCCATTGTATATTCTTTCCTCCCTTGTTAAAGATTAATTGATCACATAAATTGTGGGTTTATTCCTGGGTTTTCTATTCTGTTCCATTGATCTGTGTATCTATTTTTGTGCCAGTACCATACTTCCTTGGCTTCTATGATCTGTAATATAACTTTAAGTCTGGAATTGTGATACTTCCAGTTTTGTTTTTCTTTTTCAAGACTGCTCTAGCTATTCAGGGTCTTTTGTAAATATTCCATACAAATTTTAGGATTATCTGCCCTAGCTCTATGAAAAATGCTGTTGGTATATGTATATTTTTTTTAAGATTCATTTATTTGACAAAGAATGAGCAAGGACACGCATGAGCAGGAGGGGCAGAGGGAGAGAGAGAGAATCTCAAGCAGATTCCACACTAAGTGTGGAGCCCAATGTGGGACTTGATCCCAGGACCCTGGGAACATGACCTGAGCTGAAGGCAGCTGCTTAACTGACTGAGCCATCCAGGCGCCCAACATTGAAATTTTAAAGTAAACCTTTTCTTAAATCAGTAGGGAAAAACTGAGTTGCTCAGTAAACAGTATTGGGGCTAAGTAACTGGAAAAAAATAAAACTATTCTTACTTGCTTCATGAAATATATTCAGAAGACTCAAAAGATTTAAACATTTAAAGACGGAGCCATAAAAATATACAAACCCCACTCCACTCCAGTTCCACGGTCTCAAACATATCTAAAGTCACGGCCTCATTATCATGCCTGCTTCTTGCTGAACAGGACATGGTCATAGGATCGTGCTGACCACTTAACATTTAATTTCTATAAAAACATAACCACCCTTTATGAGGTACCTAGACTAATCAAATTACAGTGACATAAAATAGAACATGGTTACTAGGGACTGGCAGGAGTAGGGAATGGGGAGTTATGGTTTAATGGGCAGAGAGTTTGAGGTAACGCCGGGCTGGCTGTGTCAGTGGGACACACAACTCATGATCTCAGCTTGTGAGCTCAGGCTCCACACTGGATGCAGAGATTACTTATCAATAAAATCTTCAAACAAACAAACAAACAAACAAACAAAGTTCTGGAGATGGATGGTGGTGATAGTTGTACAACAATCTGAATGTACTTGATGCCACCAAACTACACACTTAAAAATGATTAAGATGTAAATTTTGTTGAGTATTTTACCACAATTTTCAGTAACATAACTTGCCTATTTACCTGTTCTAGGTTGAACATTTTTTGACATTTTAATATATGAGTTAAAATGAATGTATTGTAATTTCTTTCTGTCTTTGGTGTTGGGGATTTTTAATTAAAAAGCAAACAACACTACACAAAATACTGTTGGTTACTTAACTAAACTAGGGTAATGGCTGCTGGAGAAATATCTATGAGTACTAAGAGGGGCTCAGCTGGTCTTTGTTCAGAAACTCCAGGCTGAACACATATAAAAATCCTAATTACTCATGTTTAAATGTCTGCTAGTCTACATTTAGGTAATTTAAAAAATAAAAAAAATAAAAAAATAATGCTATACACACCCACACCCACACACTCTCACTTCATTTGCAGTTGCTAAAAATCTATCAAATCTTTTCTCTCCCAACTCCATTTTTACCATATGCCTTATACACACTTCTTTCAAATACCAGTTTGGTATATAAGTTGTTCACCCCCATTTCCAATAAGGATAAGAAAAAAAATACAGAGAAATGCAAACTGCATAGCTAGACACCTTACCCAAATATAAAATACTTCCAAACAGTTGAAATAAGGGGGAAAAACATGTACCCAGAGAACAAAGTACTCTATTTAAAAATTTTGGAGGGGTGCCTGTGTGGCGTGGTCCATTAACCGTCTGACTCTTGGTTTTAGCACAGGTCATGATATAGAGCCTGCATCAGGCTCAGCGCTGGGTGTGGAGACTGCTTAAGATTTTCTCTCCATCTCCCCTGCCCCTCCCTACAAAATAATAATATCTTAAAAAAAAAAAAAAGTATCAATCAGACTTTTAGTTTGTGTTTAAAAAGCCATCATTTAAAGGTAACCATCAAGGGGTGCCTGGGAGGGGAGTCTGCCTCTTTCTCTCCCCTTCTCCCCCTCCCCAGGCTCGTGCTCTCTAAAATAAAATAAATAAAATCTTTAAAAATTCTGGAATATTTTGATTTGGGACAAATGCAATTAACTGCTATTTAAAGCAAAATCTTGTTTGTAGTGAGGATAAGAACTGAAGCCCAAATCCCTGCCCCATAACAGTTCTCTTGTGAGAACAAGGGACTTGGGTTGAGAGTTTATTCCTTAAGAGCCAAGTGTTGTTTATTTACCAAAAAAAAGAATTAAAAAAAAAAAAAGTTGGGGCAAGGGGGATGACAAGTTTTACACAAAAGTAGTACAATGGTAACTCCCTTTGGTAAAAAGTATAATAAATGTCTTGTATGTCTGTTCATC